TTGGCAAAGTTTAGCTAATGAGTAAGACAAAGTCAGAGGGGGAATGGGAGAGAGAAAACTCAGATCATCAGAAATAAAAAAAGGAGACATTACATAGAAATATGAAGGATCATAAAAGACTATGAACAATTATACACAATTTGGATAACCTAGAAGAAATGGATAAATCCCTAGAAACATAAACTCTACCAAAACTGAATCATGAAAAGATAGAAACTCTAAACAGACCAATAGTGAGTAAGGATTAATGAATAAAGCAATTGAATCGGTAGTCACGCAATTTTGACCAATTAAACAACTAGCAACACAATATACATAGATAAAATAGACATTAAAGTACTTTGTTGTTTTCATAATTAGTATTAGTTTTTAATTTATTAATTTAGAGTTTTCTAGTACTGTTGATTCATAGAAAACAAACATAGTTTTGTCTTATATACATATGTCAATACATATATATACACAGTCACATATATATATATACACATATATACACCTACATCTATATCTTGCTTTGTGATCTAATTTGTGTTAAATATTTCCAAGGTATTTTATGTAAGCGAAAAATGTTTCTATTTGGAGAGCAGAGGTTCAATATATATTCAGTAAGTCAAACTATCAAACTATTTTGTTGCTCAATTTCTGAATCCTTAATACTTTGCTTCTGATTTATAATGTAAATACAGAGAAAGCCATGTAAAAATATTTTCTAAAATTAAGGCAATATTCATTTTTAAATCCACAAGGCAAAAACTCCATATAAACAAAGTGGATTCATGACTTACCCTTCCAAGTGTCTATAACTCAACCTCTCCAAAATTAATGGACTATCCCACCTTAAACATTTCCTCACCGAGGGACATGAAAGTGCATCCTTGAACTTTTTTCTTGCTAACATTCCCAGTTGACACTTTTATGTAATAAAGAAAAATTTACCTTCTATGGAGCTCAAAATCCACGCAACTTTATCTCAGATATTCTTTTTTAATTGTCCATATTCACTTGGTTTCTTTTCAAAATCAGTGAAAACATACTTTTGTGCTTTCCAGTTCAATCTGGCCCTTGTTACATGTTAATTTTTAAGTGTACTAATCTCCCTTAATAACATCGTATTTCAAATGACCATTGTCTCTCTAAAGATGTAACATACAAAACTCCTAACTTGTCCCTTAAAGCCTCCTCTCTGAAATCGAATTTACCCTCCAGCTAAACTCCATACTACTCATTATTCTGTGGAAGCATCTTCTTTATTAAGTTTCTTGAATGATTATCTCACATGCCGTTCCATTTTCATGGAGCTTTTCCTACAGTCTCATGTGCAGTTAATGTCTTGGCATGTGTATTGTGTCAGATTGAAAGCTACACACTCAATGATGTCTCCATCAGCTCCAGATTGTTTCAGGACCTTCTGTTTTATTATCACATAGACTTAGAACTCCTCCCCTGCAAGCATTAATAACATTTCAATTACATAAGCTTTTATATATTTCATTTACAACTGCTTTGATTGGTTATTGTGGAGCAGGAGTTTTGTTTTCTGTCTTGTTCACCACTCTCTGGTACTGTGTTTCATAAATGAGCTTAAGACTCTGAGGAGAAGGAATAAATACACCAATGAACATTGTGAAAATACATATAAGTTAAATATTTCTCATAAGACTAGAGGATTCTGTATTCCTTATCCAGGCAAAGCAGAGCCTGGATGCACTGGAGTCCCAGCTCATGAGAACAAAGGGGCTGACAGTTGGGAAACAAGCAGCGACGAGTGTAGCAGTGTTCACCAGCCACCAGCTAGAATTATTCAAAAAAGCAAAACAAACATGAAACATGGAGGAAAGGGTGTACAAAGATACAAAGGTGCTCACCAGAACCAGGATGTTTTGAGTGGCTCTGGTCTCAGGGGTTGATTTACATGAGACATTGGTTCTCTGAATGTGTTGGACTCTCTGCTTGTGCCTATGCAAGATGAAAACCATGGAGCTGCTGGCCGAGAACATGAGCCCCAGACAGAAAATATCAGGGAACAACAACAATACTATATACAGTAAGTCTGTGATTTTGTCATGAACTTCAGCATGACAGTAACCATAATCTCTTTCATTTGTGACATTTGTGTTGCTCCATTTGCCAGTTACATAGAGAAGAATGACAATATTTAGCATCATGTGCAGAATCCAGCACAGGAAAATAGAAAAGCCAATGCACCTGGGAGCTTTCTCTTTAAGCTCTGCCCACCTGGAGTTCCTGGGGCTGATTGTGATCACCTGGAAGACACTCAAGAGGCAGGTGGAGCTGATGGACACACCCCTGCCCACCCTGTGGACGTAGAAGACAAGTTTGCATTCAATATCATTGAGGAAATGTATCACCCCAAAGGCTGCCATTGTCTGGGGGACTCCTTTAGAGAGGATGACCAAGGAGTTGGCTACAGTCAAGTGTCTGAGAATCATGTTAGTGGATCTTACCCTGCAACCAGTGAAGTTAAGGAAGAAATAATGGCAGAGAAGACAGAAATTCCCCAGAATTCCAACTATTGCCTGTGATAAGTACAGCATTCCTATAGCCAAATCCTTGGAGGCCATTCTGCCAGTTCCCGGTGATTGAAATTTTTTGGTCTTTTTTCAAAATCAGAAGATCCTGCATGGGAATATAAGGCATGGGCTACATACGTCATGTCAACTGAAATCCAATACTCTCCTCTTACATTAGCTCCCACTTAGAAACAGTTACTTTTTTTCATCACTAGGCTTCTAAGAGTTGAATGCATAACCTTTAAAGAATACTTATAATGTACAAATCACTGCTGTAAAGGATATCCATATAGCTACTTCTTTATTCTTCACATTCATGAATTAGGAACAACTAATATATTCATTAAAAGGTAAGAAGCAGTTAGGCAGAAAAAAATTAATGATTGCCGAAATTCAGACCATGTTTGGGGGCAAAGTAGGGACTTGAACTTGTCTGGGATAGGAAATAAGGCATATATTTAAACAGTATGCTATAGCAACAAAATTAATTAGCTGCCTTCTTCAAATATTCCAGACTTATTTAGTTAATTTTACACCTTATATTGCTATCTTAAATTGGTTGTAGTTTGCTGTATAATTATGGTTATAATAATTTTATTGGTGGTATTTTACTGTATCATTATGGTTATAATAATTTTTCATTTATGTAGATTTATTTTTCCCAATACTAATTATAAACAAAGCATTAAAGTAAACTATAGGTGTTATTTTATATTAATATACATAATTAATATAATATATTAATATATTATTCACATATATATATGAATGTGCCTATATATGAGTGTGCCACATGACAAGTTGGAGGTAATGAGTGCACAATTGGTCTGATGTTAGGATGGCTATAGAAAGACCCATTCCCTTTTACACAAGGAACAAAATGGCAAATATCATAGAAATTAGTGAATATTTTGCCATGATCTAAATTATGGTACATTAAATACTAATATGTGATCAAACATTGCAGGGAAAACACTAAAGCATTACTAATCTACTAATTCTAGAACATACACTTATAATTAATACCTGAGTTAAATAAGATATTAGTCACTGGACAAGATTGGTGAAATATATTACAATATAAGACATATACAGGCCAGGCGCGGTGGCTCACGCCTGTAATCCTAGCACTCTGGGAGGCCGAGGCGGGCGGATTGCTCGAGGTCAGGAATTCGAAACCAGCCTGGGCAAGAGCAAGACCCTGTCTCTACTATAAATAGAAAGAAATTAATTGGCCAACTAATATATATAGAAAAAATTAGCCAGGCATGGTGGCATATGCCTGTAGTCCCAGCTACTTGTGAGGCTGAGGCAGAAGAATTGCTTGAGCCCAAGAGTTTGAGGTTTCTGTGAACTAGGTTGATGCCACAGCACTCTAGCCCAGGCAACAGAGTGAGACTCTGTCTCAAAAAAAAAAAAAAAAAAAAGACACATACACAAATTAGAACTAATGTGTAAATATTTTTATTTTATAAATTGAAATTGTAAAGCTTTAGATTAATGCTGGAATCTTTTTAAAGCATAGAAAAATATCAGAGGATACATTTGATCCTGACAGCTGCTACTTTAACCCATTATTATAAAATTACCTTTTCTTAAATGCTGCTTCCCTAACTTCTAGAGGAAAACCAGTCTTACCGTACTAGACAGACCATGGATGTTTTCAACAGAGACACAATTACTGTCGCCATTAAGCACTTCACACTCTGAGTTAGAGAAAACCTTTCTATTCCAGTAATTGCCATTCAGATGCACTGTTTCTATCCAGGACTTCATGATTCCTGTAGATTCATCTCATTCTTTCTGATAATCATGGAAATATAATATTAATGGCACAGTTCAAATAATCCTGAAAAATCTACTCTATGATTCCTGTAAGGTAGGCTAAACAACAGTTTGATTTTAAAACTACAGTCCTTAAGCACCTTGAAAAGCAGGTTACACTAAATTACTTTAGGAGCTGTCAAGGATTGGTTCAGGGTCTAGGACCTCACCTCTCTTTACTAGCTCAACTTGTGCTTCAAGTATTCTACCTTCTTGTATGACTTTGGCACTGGGTCAGTTTTAAACCTTGAAGAATTCTTTTTTCTTCTTATGTTCACTTACCCACACTCCTGGTAGGCATCCTTCCCTCACAGACCGAAATAGAAAATACTCACCTGATTTCTTCTCATCTCCAGGACGATTGGTTCAGTATGAAGGTCACAGCAGCCAGTATTGTGTGGGAGGGAGGCAGCCAGACCCAGAGATATGGGTTTGTAATTCTGTGACCTCACCTTCCCTTAGAGGTGCAATTACCATTTCACCTGTAGTGGCAATGAGAGTACAGGCTTGGGGTGTTGAGAATATTTGTTAAAGCCTTTTTCCCAGCTGCTAATTACCAAAACACAAGGACAAATTCCAAATTAGCATCTCTCAAGAGACCCTTGGTGTGTTTGGGAGAGTCCCTTTCTTTTCTGTTCTCCCTAGAGGCAGATTGGAGTTCACATGGAAGAGACCAGAAGACGTGCTGTCTGTTATGTGAGAGACTATTTGTGAAGCCCGTCATCTCACTGGATGGTCTATTTCACCAGGAAGTTCTACCCAAAATAGAGTTTTTTTCTAATCTTCATACCACTGAGCCACACCATCATTTACGTTATGAGTATTGAAATAGAATCAAACAAAGAACTTGACAAGGACTTTCAAAGAGTTATAACTCAGAAGAAGAACAAGGTGACACAAATTTATATTATAAATCATTGCCCTCATTTGCACAATTAAGTGCCAATATATTTGAAAGTCTACATGATATGGATGTTTGTTAGGAAAACATAATTTAGCAATATTGAATAACCAATAGTAATGGGAAGTCTAAAAAGAACACATCTACAAAAGAGAGATGTTTATAAGAGTTCTTCACAAATAAAACACCAGAATTAGGTGATTAAACAGGCAGATTTCACAATTCTTTTAACTATCAGATAAGCCAATGTTACTTCCTAAAATCAAGAACCCCGAAAGGTTACCTACAGTTTTCTACACCTACTTTTTGCTCAATTGTCAGGAATGAGCACTGATTGCTTTTGTAATTAATTTAGAAACAGAAAACATGAGTTCAAATTAATCCTTTGGTTTTTCCTACAAAAACACAGTTTTTTTGTTGTTTTGTTTTTGAGTCAGAGTCTCACTCTGTTGCCCAGGCTAGAGTGCCGTGGCATCAACCTAGCTTACAGCAACCTCAAACTCCTGGGCTCAAGCAATCCTCCTTCCTCAGCCTCCTGAGTAGCTGGGACTACAGGCATGCGTTGCCATGCCCGGCTAATTTTTTCTATACTTTTTTAGTTGGCCAATTAATTTCTTTCTATTTTTAGTAGAGACGGGGTCTCGCTCTTGCTCAGGCTGGTTTCGAACTCCTGACCTTGAGCGATCCATCCACCTCGGCCTCCCAGAGTGCTGAGATTACAGGCGTGAGCCACAGCACCCCACCAAATACACAGTTTTGAGATAGGGAACTGGCGGGCCCTGCTCAATAGTCATAAGACCCCAAACCAAGGTCTCTGATAAAACAAGAGGTGATGGAGAAGTTGGCTAAAACCAGCTAGAACCAAGATGACCAGGAAAAACAACCTCAGGTTACCCTTGATACTCATTAAACCATGCTTATAATATATTAACATACCAAAAGAAACTCCCACAGTTTACAAATGCCATGGCAACTCCCAGAAGTTGCCCTATATGGTTTAAAAAAGGGAGGGATCCTTGGTTTGGGAAACTCCCCACCCCTTTCCCAGAAATGTTATGAATAATCCTCTCTAGGCTTAACATAAAATTAAATAAAAGGTACAAAATAAGACCCCAGAAACTCACAAGGTGCTATTCTCTGTTGCTCTGAGAGATAGTTGCTGCTCTATGAGGCAGCCACCTCTGTTTTTTTCTTTTCTTACTTCAATAAACTTGCTTTTGCCTTACTCTGTTGGTTTACTCTTGAACTCTTTCCTGTGCAAAGCCAAGAACCCACTTGATCTTCAGCTTGGCCCCCAGCTTTGGGGTCCATTTTTCTATATCTGTTTGATCTATGTCTGCTATCTAATGCTCATCACATCCGAGTCAGGGATTATAGTCATACTGGTGGGTGGACAGCCCTTATACATACACACATACATATCACACACATGCACAAATACACAGTTACATATAAAGGCAATCATACATGTTTATCACAACATACACTCAAATACATAGTCATATACTCACATAGCCATACATACACACATTTTCCATAACAAAGTCACACTCATCAAAACACTCACCAATAAATCACACACTCATAAACACTTATTATTAAACACACAATCACCTAAACTAACACATTCCTATTCTCATTCATAAAGTCCTATTCACAGAGTCAGCATGTACGTGTGTATCTCAATATACTGTTCATATATGGAAGAAAAATGGCATCTCCCAAACTCTGGATGTTTGAAAAGGGGGAAATTTTTTACTCTTTTTCAGGATAGAAATAGAAAACTAACACACACAAAAACCAATTTTTAATAATACAATACACATTTAACACAATAAAATATACTAGACAACAACATTAATCATATTCTGTTCCTCGTTCAATGATTTACATAAATATTTCATATTTGTATTACCATCTAATCAAATAGCTTTCCTCAAGCACCTGATCTGCGAAGGAGATTTTTCATACCAGTCAGAAATACGGTCCTTAGTTAGCACTCCTTGAACATAGCTGGGCACGGTGGCTCACCGCCTTCTATCCTAGCACTCTCTGGAGGCCGAGGTGGGAGGCAATCTCTCAAAGCTCAGGGAGTTTGAGACGCCCTGAGCCAAAGCAAGATGCCTTTCACTAACAAATAGAGAAGAAATTAATTGACCACTAAAATATTATAGGAAAAATTAGCTGGGCGTGGTGGTCATGCCTGTAGATCTCCCACGCTACTTTGGAGGCTGAGGCTGAGGATCGCGTAAGTCCCCAGGAGTTGAGGTGCATGCTGACGCTATGGGTGACTGCCACGGCACTCCACTCGTAGCCTGGCCAACCAAAGAGAATGAGACTCGAGCAAGGAACGGAAGGAGGAAGAAGGAAGGGAAGGAAAGAAAGAAAGAAAGAGAGAGAGAGAGAGAGAAAGAAAATGGTACTGTATGGTGATTACAGGTGAATTATCTTTATGGAAATACTCCCTGTTTATACATTTACAGAGTCTAAACTGTCTGTCCCGTTATCACATACATGGAATTTGGATCATTGATCACACTGATTGAGCACATGTGAATCACCTCTGTGGTTCCTAGACATAAGATTAGTGCACCATTATAATTGCACATTCTCCCTGTGGGTGGATTAACAACATGCCTTGCAAAAATCTTCAAATATAAAAAATAATATCCCCAAAATTGTGTGCCTACATACCTCCACTTTTCACTTTTTGTTTACTTTTCTATTCCAGAGTCTTACATCTTCTCTGGAAGAACACATATTAATAACATGTTTATATAAATATAACCCATAGAAAGTTAAATACCATTTCATATTTGACAATGCTTCATCTATAGTTTTAACATACCAAATAAAACTAATATGTCTCTCTTCGACTGTTAGTGGCTCTAATGTTTAAAAAAAAA